CTTTCTTATGTTGTGTCTGCCTGTTTCTCGCTTCTCCCTTTTGCTTAAAATAAAGGCAAGCAGCTTAAACAGGCGAACCAAAGTGTTTTCTAGTACTGCTGGCAGGCTTTCACAAAAAGCAAGTAGAAAACTTTGGTCTTAACCTGATGCTAGTAAAAGTTTGTCCAATGCAGAATAGACTAAACAAGGTAGTATAAAAAGAGATGCATAATTACACACACATTTACATATCTAATGTAGAATCCTGATAAACTGCTTCTAAACAGCCTAGACAATTTCAGCAATTAAATAGTAGTATTATGTAGTTATTTTAAAGTCAGACAACCTCTTAGACACACCAATACAATTAATAAAAAGTTGCTTAAGCAGAAACAAGTATTTCCTCATCCAGGTTTCTTTTCTTAAAGAAAGAGATTGTAGCAGCTCCATAAGAGGTCTTAATCTTCACCCAGTTGCCTCCAATTTTATTGAAAATAACATGCTTCCAAGTGACACGTGCTCAGATCTGTAACGTATTCTTCTTCCTATGGCTAGTGCTCTTGCTCTTTCCATTGGACAGTTCCCAAACAAATATTTCATGTGACTTTTTCAGCTTCGGCAGTGAACGTCCTTGCCAAAATAGAAGGAAAATTAATTGCAACGTGGCAGGGAAAGCATCATGGACAATTTGCAGGAATGATTGCTTCAGTTTGGGGTTTGGGTTTTTTTTTTGGTTGGTTGGTTTTTTTCTTTAAAAAGATGACCATTTACAGACTGATGGAGTATAGTGACGAATTTCACGATACACTTAAATCTCCTCCATGGCAAAGTCTAAGTAATAATCACAGCACAGATACAGCCTTTCCCCAGAAACATATCCCACTCCCTCCATTGCAGGGTTCTTTTCCAGCTCCATTTAGTGAAAAAGCCCAGGCAGGTCAGCATATAATCACAACACTGACAGTTAAAACAAACATAGCCACTGTAATATAATTTGTCTCCCGTCATCTCTCTCATTTAAGTTCGTCTCAAAGGAGAGCATTTGTCTGTTAGACTCCCCTCATAAGTTATTAAATATCTAGAAAAATTCCAAATTCAGCCTATCTAAATCATAGAAGCTTCTAGAAGTTGGTGGCTGAGCTTTGCTCTTGTGGGAAAATAATACCTGGTTTAAAAAGTTAGAATGCATTTCTTGTGAAAAAAAAGTATACGTGATGAAGAAAATTCAGAAGTCATTTTAAACTCCTCAGTATACCACGGGCATCATGCTTTTCACTGCTTTCATGGCAACCCATGAAACACCAGATTCTTCCTACTTTCCCATTGAATTAATGGCAAATTATACAAGACTTTCTTTACTCTACAAATCTACAAATCATCTGCTTAAAGGAACCTAAACCCATGCTATTATACAAGGGATTTAAAAATGACACAGGAAGTATCTGAGTTTCTATACAGATCTCCTTCGCCATGCCATTCCTGATTAAAGAGCTTCATGGAAAAAAAACCAAGCACCTTCCTTTTCTCTCTCCCTCTAGTGTCTCCTCCAGCTTCTTCTACTTACAAAGCTGTGAATGTATGTTCATCCTAACTGCACAATTAGTTAGGCAAATTAACTATATACAGTTGGCTAATTTTATGCTTTGAGACTATGCCTGCCTAGTTTTTAAAACCAAGTTTAACCTGCTTTTGTTATTTTTCCTTTAAGTTATGCAAGTCCTAATGAGCAACTGTTGTTTTAATATTAATCAATTCTCCTTAAACAAGATTAGTGCAAGTCACTCAAACCCTTTTTTAAATGAAAGTCTTCTCTACCCACAAGAAAATAATGTTTTTCCTTTCTCTGAAGTGTACTATTTCCTGAATCTGCACAAGCGGCCTGACATAGCAAAAGTTTTAAGCATCTGAAGTGTAATTCTGTCCTGTGTTCACCGGGGTGTGCATAAATGGATTCCTTTAGATCTGGAGCTGACATTCGTCACATACTTCGAAGAACAGAATCACAGAGCGACTGAGATTGGCAGGGGCCCCTGGAAATCTTTTAGTCTAAACTCCCTGCTCAAAGCAGGGCCAGCTACAGCAGGCTGTGCATTGGGCTTTGCATATCCCTAAGCCTGGGGACTTCACACCCTCTCTGGGCAACCTGCTCCACTGTTTGATCATCCTCACAGTGAAAGACACTTACAAATGTAGAAACCAAGAATAGCCATCCGATGAACAGGAACAAAAAGAGACTGAAACACAGCACCAGTTTGGATATAGAATACACACTGATGGAAACAGAAAAACTTGAATAAGATTCATTGTTCTTTAACCCACTGTTTAAGGATCGCACCACAGTTTACTGTTCCTGTCATTTTGAAAGCTGGAGAGCTCCTGCTTTAGAAAAACCACCTGCTGCTCAAAAGCCATAAATACAAAAAAGGTAATCCAAGTCAAATAGGGCTCAGCTTGGCACTTACTGATCATGCCTAGTGTCAGGAATGCTTCGGTCCATTCGCAGTTTGTCACTTTCTACCTGATTGAACTTATTGCGGGCATATGGATCCTGACCAGATCGCACCATGGTAGCGCCAACATAAGCATCTTGATCAAAGTCTTGCCACCGAACTTTTCCTACAATAGAAAAACAGGAAAATATCCAATTTAATATTTGCAATTTAAAGAACAGCAATCAACAATACAAACATAACTGATGAAATAGCTGGGTTTTAATTTTGCAACAAAGTAATTAAACCTCAACAGTATTGTTAACAGTGTAACATCAACAGTCACTTTTGCATATTAAATTCCTCTAGAACACCTGTGAATTAATATAAAATTGAACAATTTTACAGATCTCCGTTTATACAAGTAATGCTTGAACGATGCTTCATCTTGGCTGTTTTGTTTGTTGTTTTTTTAACCCCAACTACCACAGCTTCCATTTAAAAAAAAAAAAACAACCTCCACATATTGACAGGCATTAATACGGCAGATGATCTGGCTATAAAGTTATCCAAGTAACATTTTTTTTTTTTTTCCAAGATCTAGTCCAGACTTCAAAGACATTATAATTTACTTTACTGTCTCATTACGTAAGTAAAAACACAGTCAGTTATAATCAAACCATTTGAGGAACAGGCCTTTTACAAGTACAAGGCAACATTATTCTCAAAACCCAGCATTTCATGTAGGCAGAGCACTGGATCACTCTCCAATATGACATAACTGCAACCTCCTTTACAATCAGAACTGATTCACAGATTAATCCCTCTTTAACAAGGACTGCGTTATGTGACTGGTTGTGGCACTAACACAGAAAGGTAGATTAGCATCCAGCCACCAGGAACAAAATTTCAGGACTTTGACCATCTTCAGGTGTAAAACAACGGTATGATATTTACCAAACGTCTTAAAACTATCAGTTCTTACCTCTGGTTGAATGTTTACTTTTTTGCCTATTGACAGCCAAACCTATGCTACCTACAGCAAATTTGTACCACCTTTAACTCAAAATCGGAGCTCAAGTTCTAATGAAATACAGATATTTTTGTTTTAACATGGATGGGTATGAGAATCTCCTGCAAGCATGTTGTGGTGAACACAGCATGCTGTTGGCATTAAAAAAACAAAGATACAAAGCAAAATCTGCCTTTTGGGGTCACTGTCTATTACAGATTGAGGGGAGTTAATATTCATTGTTTTCATAATTAACATACAAAGTTTTTGAGGTACTTTCAATTAAGTTCAGCAAGCAGCAGGTTGCAGAGATGTCACTCCATTCCAGAGATGCGCTGTTGCCGACTGAGGTTAAACCACGACATCACTCCATTCAAGCTCAGCTTTTAGACAAATATAGCTCAGGCATATCCTGAACTAAGCTGATATGCATAGAGGCAATACTACTCTAACAGCTATTAACAAAAGTCAGAGGTTGCGCAGATGTTTCAGGGTTTGCCTTTGCTTGGTCTCTCAACCTGCACAGCATGGAAACTAAGGCAGGCCTCATTTACAGCTTTCTATCCATAAGCCATGCCCCAACTATGGTGCATTAACTCCTGCTAGAAGATTCTGATATTGAAAGAACACTTTCCGTCATGAAACGAAATAATTTTCTATTGTTTAACTGGACAAATACCATCAACTTGATTAAAAGTTCTCTATAATCTCAGGATCATCTACAAAAGCAACTTGGACCCACGGTGTGATTTGGTTATCAGAGGTTAACCTAGCGGAGGTTGTAAAGCAAAAACATCAAGGTTGGGGTGGAGGTGGTTTTGGGTTGGCTGGTTTGTTTTTAAGAAACTTCCAACATCCAAGTAAAGTCACAGAGTAAGAGAAAAGCACCCATACTTTTTGATTACTGGTTTAAAAGCTAGCCAGTTAATACTAAGCAACTATTTTTACATCTGAATTACCATCCTAAAGAAGTTAAAACATGCATACACACACAGAAGCCAGAACTAGAGAGTTAAACAAAACCAGACTGCAGAGCATTTAATAGACACTTGATGAAGCAGCCCAGAGGGTAAACTGTAGGAAAATAACTGGAAGGAGCAATACAGATTTTCAAATTCCAGTTACTGGAAGAACTCTAATCAAGCTGTTGTTGGTAGCCCCCAGACTGCCAAGTGTTTTTCTTAGCCTTTCAAGTTCTTTCTTCAAAATATTTCCAGGAACTTACTTTGAAAACAAGTTTACAGCTCAGCCAGCTGCCACACTACAAATAACCCAATACAGAATTGTTTAAAAAAATTACACCAAACCTCACTTGCAACAAAACTATACAAAATGCAGAGTGGCTTGATTCAGGAAACGAAGAAAAAGCAGAGATCACAAGATCATCTCCCCGTATACACTCTCCCTTAGGATTTCCCAATGCTTTTGCAACCTCCTTGGTAACTAAACTATATTATCACCCTTGCTTCTAATTTATAATATAGCTTCAATCTGGAACATATGTTGAATATTTTCTGAAATACAGGACATGTCATGTCACTGCTTTTCACATCTAAAAATAAAGATTTTAGTGCATTTTACAAAATATAATCTACACTTAAAATGCATTTATGTAGGACTTTCAACTTTCAAACACTCCAACTTCCAATGGCTTTTAATGCTATGCCTGCTTCAGTACTGCCACCCCCATCCGCTCCTCTAGTTGCCTTCCATCCAGTAGAAAGTGTGAATATTAGGAAAAATTTCTTCACCGAAAGGGTCATCAAGCATTGGAACAGGCTGCCCGGGGAAGTGGTGGAGTCACCATCCCTGGAGGTATTTAAAAGACGTGTAGATGTGGTGCTTAGGGACACGGTTTAGTGGTGGACTTGGCAGTGCTAGGTTAGCGGTTGGACTCAATGATCTTAAAGGTCTTTTCCAACCCCAATGATTCTACGATTCTAAGTATACTGTCCAGCCTTACTTTTGCTGAAAGGCTTGCCTTTTTGACAATTTATCAACTAAATTTTGAAGTTAGAAGTGATTTAACAAAACCTTTTCAAATTATAGGTACTGTTTCTGTTCTATGCTTCCCTGGGGTACACAAATAGGAGCGTGTTTGATTTAATTTCTTCTGGGGAGTTAGCTGGCTCTGTAGTTTCCTGAGTTTCAGTGACTTTGCCAGGTGGAATGAGTATCAGAAAACGCAACTACATTATTTCAAACTTAAATTAAGCAACTTTGTAACTTCAAATTCAAGTAAATGTATATTTACCTGTACTGAGACCTGACAATAAATTAATCTTTTAAACTCAACAGTAAATGACCTGCAGAATTTCCTATCAGAATCAAATAGAGAAAGAAAAAAAAAAAAAATCACTAAACCGACTAAGAACCTTGAACCAGGGTATGCTGCAGTACTAAACTTGGTTTTGACAAGAAGTGTTTATTTTACAGACTGTTCTGAGCCTCAGAAGCTGTGTAGAAACAAGAAAAAGGTGAAAGCCAGTGAAGTTGCTTCTTTTTGTCCCAGCTATTTCCCAGCTCTTAAGTCTTGGAGAAGGCAATCAACAAAACTAGTGCAATTCACTGCTAGTATTTTTAATAACAAGCTGGTTGATTTTAAATAGAAGCATATTTTGATTTTTTTTGCTCTGTAAAAAGTAGCTGTATTTAAAAAATAATGCTAGTTTGGGTACATTTTATTCAACTCCAGTTTTCATCCAAGTAGAGCTTGATAGAAATCATTTAAGATGTATCATCTGCCATTTTCCAAGACTTTAAAACCAGCAAAAACCAAACACTAGTCCAGAAAGCATAGAGAAAATTTGAGAAGAAAGAAAGGAGACCACTTCATAGGGCTAAATTTCCTGGAAAGTAGCGACAGCCCACAGAATATAAGAATAAGTGAGTTTGGCTTCAGGAGCCAGAAAGAATGCAAAGCCTGGCTCTGGCTCCAGCAGAACGCCTTGTCAACCACATGCAATATGAATCAGATCTATCAAGGAAAAGTCAGATAACAGTAAGAGCACTCGAAGTGAGATTGAAGAAAAAAAAAAAGCATAGCAGATAAATCTGCACGCAACCAAGTGGCAGGCAACAAAGAGTAGGAATAGATGGATACAAAATCCCCTAAATAGCTTGCACTTCCTCTTACTGACTCAATACAGCTTAAAAGCAGTAGGATACTTGATATCAATATGATTATTTTGACTCACAGGCATTAAGACATTCCAGATCTTCATTAACTAACAAAAAGGGCTGTTTGAGTAACTGCTGAAACTCCTATCATTACAGATAACTGGTTATACAGTTTTGCTTGTTATCCATGCAGACAGTTCAGGGTCCATCCTTCTAACTACAAGAGCTAACATCATTATTTTCACAAAAGTAGGAACAGGCTTTTGCAGCATATACAAAGACCAAATGACAGATACCTTCTGTACATCAGAGTGTAAAACACCCAACAGTTTAATCTTTATAAAAAGTCAATTTAAAGATAAAGATAATAAACAATTCCTTAATTCTGAGAAGTTCTGAAAGATACTACACTGCATAATGCTGAAACCTAAACTACAGGTCTCCTAACCTCAGTGGAAAAGCAAGAAAGTTCTGAACCAAAGCCCTCATAAAATTTGATCACTTTGCTTTAAAACAATGCAAAGAATCTGCAGAAATATGAACTCCAAGCTTCACTGCCATAAGGATTCAGAAGTTTGCCTACACGAATTGAAAATAAGCAAAATAGTGATTTAAGAGTGCATAATTCTGTCTGTGTAGCCTTTGATGTTTGACTCGAAACTCTTACCACTTTGCAGTAACAATTCTCCTGCCTGTTAAATCAAGCCGTAAGAGATTACTAATCAACAGATGAAACGAAAAAAGCCCTGACCTGTTCTACTTTACACTTAATTTTACTTCTAGCTTCAACCCTTGCAGCTTCTGATATCTCTCCCTTTCAACTTGTGACACTTCCCACTTCTTTTAATATTCAAATGGCTACTTAGGGCCACTGGGAAAGGAAGGTCTTAAGGGAAATGTGTAGGGTTTGGCCCAGAATACATAAACATTCAAAAAGGGGAAATAAACTGGAAGGTGCAAAATTGGCTGACCTATAATCCCAGTGACAATATTTGCAGAGAGTTCTGTTAAGGGAAAAAAAATACTTGGAAAGATCTGCCAGAAACTAAGTTAAATAAGCCAGGCCCTTCAACTTCTTAGGATTTATTTCCTGATTCATCCACAAAGTAAAGGTTTTGCCAAAAAAGCATACATACACAACCAGAGTCTTGTTTCCCCTCTCCAGAAAGCAGCTAAGACAAGGTAGGCCAAAGACTACAGAAAAAAGCAATGAATGTCAAACAGCTTACACTATACCAGGAGTCTAAGACAGTAAAACAAAAATCATGCCTCGTGTTATTGGGGATGGAAGTTTCCAGCTGCTTAAAGGAAAGTTTCCCTTGGTTAGTTCTTTCTTCAAGACCTCACAGTATTTCAAATGTTTGGCTAAGACAAATTTGTAAGCCAAACATTAGGATTAATCAAAGAAGAGTAAAATGTGTTGTGAAGCTATCTGATCAGAAGTTGTCCTACTTGTATGGTAAACTTTGAATACGGTGTAAAATATTCAAATCCATTTTACTATTTCTGTATTCCTTGGTACATCAATCTTTACTATATATTAAATCTCATTGATGTGAAACAGTTAAGCGGCAAAAGAAGTTTTATGGAAGCAGTCATATGAAATGAAGGTTCCTTAACGCTTAATTTTCCTAGCTCATCCTCAAGGCATAAGATCATTTCATTAAATTAAACAAAATTCATGTTGCTCTTTTTATTTGCCAACATGTGACAAATACTGAGCAAGTATGAGAAAAATAACGTATGCCATCAGTGCACTCAGGAAAAACTGCCACATCAAAAGCCAGACGAAACTAAAGAAGTATGAACCTTGGCTGAATCTTCAGTCGGAAGCACAGTCCCAAGGCAACTTGTCTGTTGCCTGCCAGCACTATCCATTGAGAGAAATGGACTACTTTTGTACCAGAGGCTTTTAAGGCAGCTCAAACCTATTGCAGGACAATACAAACATACTAGCAAAGAGTCACATTCTCTATGGTTTTAAACCCAAAGGAGTAGTGAAGTAGGTAAGATTTAAGGAAGCTGAAGCTTTAAGAATAGAGAAGTACTTATTGCTAAAATAATCCTAGCACTTCCAAACTACAAAGAATCAATCGGAACAACTGCTCTGTTTTATGGCTTTCAAGGATAAATGTTTTATGGCTACGGATCTTTCATAACAAACATTACTGCAATACCTGGAGGTAGCGTCTCCACACTTTGTGCTTTGTCCTCCCCATCATTGCCACGTACGTCTTTCCTTTTGGGGTCGATATCATTTGGGTCCTCCTGAAAAAAGTACATAATCTTTAAAATAATCATCTCCTTAATTGATTTAAATTTTGTGTTTTCAAGGCAAACAGCAATAACAAAGCTTTGTGGATTTTAAACTCAGGAAGTGGTCCAATAGAGCTAACTTTGGATTTTAAGAGAAAGAATGATTATTTCCTTCATTACTTGAAAAACATAATAAACAGAACAAAAATTCAAGACAGGCTTTTGCATTTAATTTATGCAGCAATTCTTACTTGGAAAAAAGAATTGTTCAAAAGGAAATGTATTAGGAAAAATGAAATAATAAATTTATTAATTAAAAAAAAATGTCAGTAATACTCAAATGAGCAAGGCAGGCAAAAAGATTAAACAAAACCTGAAGAAAGCCCTGCTCTAGCAAGGAATAGGCCAAATAGTAAAGTTATCGGAAAAAGAGAAGTCAGGTTATGTAGCAGTTATATCCACAGTGGCAGTTTTCCAATTGGAAAAAACCTTCCAAAATATCTGCAAGTTGCTATTTTCATGTGTTCGTTTCAGTAGAGCTTATCATGGGTTACACAGGCAACTCTGCCGGATTAGCGATTCCAGTGATATCAATAATACGCATGGGGGGGGTGGGGAGGGGGAAGTATTAGTAAGTTTCATCTTCCCCCCACCCAATTTCCAACATTGATTCTAAATCTGTAAATCTTACTTTTCTTGCGACAGCGAAAAACACTCTTGTATGCTCATTATCAAAAAACATATACGACATCAAGCTTGAATTGGGTCCTTATCACATTGTGCATTTGGAAGAAGTGGAGAAGAGGGTAACTTTTTTTTTTTTAAATAATTAGCAACTGTATGCTGGTTTGCACACTACATTTAACTAACTGAGTTAAGTGCCACCAGCTTCTGTTATTTTTGCACACTTGCCAAAGGAAATTCTGTTGCCTTTTCTAAGTCTGTACTGAAGAAGTCCCAACTATAACATTGGTTTTATTTGCACAACCCCACTAAAGGCAACACCTTTACTACATCACGTAAGAAGATGCAATACTATGCCTATGCTAATAAATCAAGTGCACCTAGAAACATTACCAGTCACTGAAGCCAAGCAGTGCAGAACGGTTCATACCTCTTCTAGGAATCTGCCCGAGTCTCCAGAACAGGGTGATGGTGTACAAAGTGCATACTGTAAACTGTCTCTGCCATCCCAGCTCCTAAGCCACATCTGGGAATTCTTTGGGTAGAATAGCAAGTAGTTGGAACAGGCCAAATTCGCATAGGGGTACATTTCAACCACAAATGATATCATTTCAGTATGTCCCCAGGCGTATCTGAATTTTCCAATGTAAATTCAGCTTAAGTCTCTACATTAGGTAGGCACTAATAGCTAGAAATATGTTGAAAAAAGTTTTGCATTTCAGTATTTTAGCCTGAATACTGATGCTTTTTAGTAATTGTTAATCATTTTCAGAGAGGAAGAGCCATATAAACACTAAATCAGTTAAGAATGAAACGCTACAAATGCATGTTTTTCATGGAACTGTGCATTGAGAATACCAGAGGGAGAATTTGTTGAGGTTCTTATACCACATTCACCATATGTTCCATGCTTTGGGTTATTGGGCCTTGCTGAGGTCAATAACTTTGCTTAAATAAAGATTAAAGCAATAAAAATAAATAAGTAAGAAACCAAGCAAAATAAAAACCAAGCAAAAAAACCCACCACCACATTTCAAGGAGATTATCAAGGCTTATGCTGGTGTGGGAAAGTATCTTTCACTGTGCACTGAGTCCCACCAGCACATTGAAACAGAAACTTTCTATGGTTCTGGAAAGTTGTATTTCACTAGTTATTTGGCTTCATGCACCATGTTAAGGACAGCAACGCTATGGAAACACTTAGTAAGTGCAAGTATCAACTGTAGCTGGAAGAAAAGTCTTCCCACTAAGAATGTCAAGTTTTGCAAAATTCCACCAAGCTCTTCACTGTCCCAAATTACTGTAACGAGTCTAAAAAAATACCTATGTAAGTTGAAAAATAAATGCAAAACTTCCATTAAGCAAGCAAAAAAATTGCAGCGGTTTTGCCTGTAGTTAAACAAAAAATACTGAGTGCTTCCT